CGGGGCTCGGGGTCTCCTTGGATGACCGTGAGCCTGTGGAGGAGGCCGAGGAGGGGAGGGGCTCCGTGGAAGGCGCGGTAGCGGCGGAGGAACCCGGAGTCGCAGAGGATGCGGAGCCACGGCTTGCAGACGAGGGCGGCGCGGAAGAGGTGCTCGGGCTCGTCCGGTGGGAGGCGGAGGATGATCTCGGCCATGACGCGTGTGCGGACTAGCTGTAGCGGAGAACGCCCAACGCGTGTGCGGCGAAGAAACACGCAGCCTCGGTCGCCAGCACGAGACGACGCTGGCTCCAGCGGCCTACGCGGCGAAGCGACGCGGGCTCCGGCGGCCTGTGCGGCAAAGCGACGCACATCCTCGGTCGCCAGCACGAGGCGACGCTGGCATCGGCGGCCGGCGCCGAAGCGACGCGGGCTCGGTCATAACCCACCCCCTCCATTAGGTTTGCAGGTTAGGGAAAAGATTACATCATTTCCCTATCCCTATCCCTGTTCCATACATCCACAATGGATAGGATATTTTTCTCCCCTCGTTTCCCTAACCCACCCACCCCACATTTCCCCGTATCCAAACGTCACCTCACCGTCGTGTCGTGCCTGGCTCACCAAAGATGCTGCGACTGCACACAGATCACAAGCAGTGACTGCATGTGGCCCCAGGGCTGAGCGGTCCACATGACAGTGGCATAAATGCACAACACGGAGACGGAACCAGGTCCTTCTGGGGCATGATTAAACAAAAAGAGTAATCCCCTGCCGGTCCTAAACTTGTATTATTGTGTTATTTCGGTCGCTAATCTGAAAAAATGGTCATCTAGGTACTAAACAATGTTTGAATCTCACTTTAGTTCTATTGGGTCTCTATGTTGTCCTCCAACTTAGCCCCCTTTGGCACGGCTCATCGAGCAGCTTCTCGAGCGGCTTTTGATGAAGCCGTGCCAAACGGTGGCTCCTCGAGATGGCTCGCGACCAGAAGCCGGCAGAAGCCCCGCAAAACGCGGTGAGTGCATTCCTCCCCGCGCGAGAAGCCAAAAATAGTGGCTTATCACGGCTCAACCCCATCCAAACGTGTCCAATTCCATCGCTGTCCTCGGGACCGAGCGGCACGGGTGCGGGGCTAACCTGGTGGCGGGTGGAGCACCGGCGGCGGCGTGACGCGCCTGATGCGCCGGTGGAGACCATGGCGGCGGGCGGGGCGCAGCATCGGCAGCGTCTGTCGACGGGAGGTGGGGGTGCGGGGCCGAAGGTGGAGGGCAGAGGACCAGAGGTGGGGGCGCGGGTGATGGCCTGGACGCTGCCCGAGAGAGAGAGAGAAGGAAAGATATGCCAATCGGATAAGGAGAGAGGAGGGGAAAAGAAAAGAAGGGGAAAAGGAAAGAGAAATAAAAAAGGAAAGAAAAAGAAAAGGAAAATAAAGAGAAAAAGAAAAATAAAAGAGAAAAAAGAAATATAAGGGTATTTTGGACAATTGACATCTTCTATACATTCTAAGAAGCTAGGAGAAGCCATTTTACCAAACGTTTTCGTACAAAATAAGCCAGAGCCAGAAAAAACTGCTTTTCCATGTGAGCCAGAGCCAAAACTGTTTTTTCACGAGCCAAAGCCGTGCCAAACGGACCCTTATTTACCCATGTCATTCTGGTCCTAAACAACGTTTTCCACCTCATCTTCCTCCTCACGACGCTGCTGCCATTGCCACCGCGAGTCACGCAGGCAACTGTCTCCGTGCTTGGGTGGCCGCTGCCCCTTCTCACCTGTGCTACCACCGGCCTCACCCACACGGGAAGCAGTAGCAGCCGACCAACCCACCGTTGCTTGCTCAGGCCACCCCCGTACCAATTCCCTTCGTGTCGCTGACGCCGCTCCTCGCTTTAGGCTGCCGCTGTCGGAGCACTTTCTTGCTTAGGCATTCACACCACACCATGGGCGCTCACTACCTCTCACTCTGACGCCGGTGCCGAGAGGAGGACCAACAACACGAAAGCAATGGAGATGGACAGGAGGATGTTGGCTGCGAGCATGACATGCCAGTTGATGTGGTTGGGCAGGCCCGATAGGCGAGGTCGGAGTCTGGGAGACATAGCCGAGAGGAGGATCCCGAAGCTGATGAGGATCTCAGGGAAGGACGCCACGAAGTCCCGCAGCGTTGCCGGGGAGAGCTCTGTGATGTACAAGAGCGCCACCAGCCACCATGATGCCAATGCTAGCCAACAGCTGCCCCATCATGAGCAAACCAAACCAAACTTCTTTCAAGATATCATACGATTGCATACACTCGCCTCTTGTTCTGGATCCATCGCCTCACATGAGTTCACCCGTATGCAGAATGCTTGGTAAAAGTAACACCAGAGACGGGCGTTGCCCAGATGAACTGAAGCTCATGGCATGCACCATCGCACTTTCCTCTAGCCTCGGCATGATAGCGTCCGTCGGAGCTCAATGCCTCATCGGAGACCGCCACACCATGCTCTGCATCAACGCTATCGCCTGAGGCCTCACCACCGGCTTCACGGCCGTGATGGCCGACACCTTCGTCAACGCGTCAACGTTGTCGGGATCGGCCTGGTGCTCACTGGTCGACCCAGGCTATGCCGCGGAGCTCAGCCTCAGCCCGCTTCCGCCCGCTGCAATGGGCTGTCTGGGAGAAGGAGGCGGATAGCAGGCCGTTTGGATGGACGATGAGACCCGAACGATGTTTAGGTATCTAGATGAGTTTTTGCAAGTACGGGAACCGGGATGACATAGTGGCGCAAGTTTAGGGACCGGTGGTAGACTTTACTCAGGAATTTAAACTCTAGAGAAACAGATGGATGGCAATAGTGATTGTCACAAAGTCCATATGCGATAATTGACTAACTACTACTCTTAAAAAAATTATTGTCATATCCCACTTCTCTTTATTTTTTTCCACTTCTATTCCATGGCCGTGCAATTTCTACTGACGTTAAATCAAGATAGTTTTAAATTTCCTCTTTGGTGAGCTCTCTTCTTCAAGGAAGCCACCATCCAACTAAGTCTTGAAACTGCATGCTATGTCCTTTAGCCCTCTTGAAAATTTAAATTTCAAGGGTTTATTTAGTTCACTATAACACTTTTCCACAGCCTGCCTGATTTTTTTTTTTTTGGTTCTTGCCAAAGTTTTGGCACATCACACTTTTTCATGATTCGACCTCATATGTCATAGGCTTAAAACCTTGCCAAAGCTTTTCTAAGTTATGGACACATTAGACAAAGTTTGGCGGTGTGCGGTAACTATCTAAACATGCTCTTTAATCATCTTGTATAGATTCTTAGTAGCCCATTTTACTGAAAACATCATTGGATTCACCTTAGTGCTATTGATGTCTGTTTCAAGCACTGTTGTCTCAACTCTCAAGCAACCACCGTCTAGCCTCGCCATCGTACCGACATCCATGGGCACGCCTCAATCCTTTCCAAACAAATTGTGGAACCATCACGTACTGATGCCAGCCACCTACTAATCTCAGACCTGCTATACATGCCACTCTACTGCACTGTTGTCGATCATATTCTAATTATGTTTGGTTTCCGCTTGTGATCAGCTTTTCTTCACGATGAAAAAGGCAAACGATGTTTGTTGTGCTGCTCGCAAGCTTCTCACACATGCACACTGGAGAATCATGGACCAATTGCATGTATCAAAAGCGAATATGTTTTTTCGCGATTTTACCATCTTGGCCACTAGACCATATTTCTTCTCCCAGATCGCTGCCATGAAAGACATCAGGTATGAGCCACGATCGTTAGGATCAACACATTTTGTTTGGTTATTTCCTATTATGTTTTTTTTATGATTTCATCGTAATCTCGGCCACTAGAACATATTCTTCTCCTAGGTCGTCGCCTTCGTGAAAGGCGTTTCTTTTTTTGAAAGATCCGGCTGCCCGACTTTAGATCATATTAATAAGAAGGGAGAAGCATTAACACCGTCAATTACATGCGCGAGGGGCGCAGCCTATCACAGTGGTACTACGTAGGGCGAAAAACAAAGCTGACTACTCGCTAATTATTGAGCTACCAGGAAGTTCTAGAACTTTCCCCCCCGCAGCAATACAGAAGGAGCACGTAGCCATGATCGTATCACCAAATGATTCGATGGTATGGAACTTCCCCTTCATCGTGTCTTCGGTGGCTCCATCCAACCCTCTTTGCACGTCATGTTCTGCATAGGATAATCCGGTGCCTTTTTCTCTTGCCTTCACCGGATCGCCCGACACTCCTGCGTGTGCCACGAACTTCTTCGCAGTCCCTTCTTAGCCTTCACCGAATGGTCTGGTTGACCATCTCTTCTCTGCGTTGGATTGTCCAGTGATGTTTGTGTTTCTTCTATATATGACCTTCACCATATGATCTGGTATCTATTGACGACGTGATCTAGTGCTTGTTTCTTCGCCGTTTGTCTCGGATATTGGTTGTTCTTCCTTCATAAGGTGAAAGAGGAAAAGTTTGTTGGTCATGTTGATTCACTAGACGCGCCCATGATCTATCCTATTGAAAGAGGAAAAATAGACATATATACGGTGAAATGGGCATGTAGAATGTTAGAAATTACAGCAATAGAGATCTTCATCAAGTATGGGTGATTGTCTTCTACTAGTTTGTCTCCTTTTTTTCTTATGCTTTTTGTGAGCTCTTTGAATCCAGCAAAAGGTTGAATTACAATAATAGATTGGTTGAGTGCAAAACTCTTGCATAATCTGGAATAAAATCTTTTTGTTCTAAAAATATATATTTGTCTAACACATTTAACACATACGTTAATCAAACCCATAAAGGAGGGGCCATGTTAGCTTCATCATCATTTTTGTTTGACATCACATGATCCATCCGTGTACAATACTGCTATTTAGGTCCTTCTACCATTTCATATTTTTCTTCAAAACCGAAACCATTTTACATCCCAATAATTAAAGGGCGATTCGAAACCTAAAACATGTCACCGATCAACCGATTTCCCATGAGCGCGACGACCAGGCAGATGCATTACACAAACGACCAGTTGACGAACATGAAGCAGATGCAGTGCGCGCCACAGTCGTCGTCGAGCACCTTCCACGCCAGCGCCTTCTCGTACGACACCGGCCGGCCCAGGCCGGACACGCACAGCCCGCCGGGGATGCACGTGAACCCCTGCTCCATGATGCCAGGGAGCTCCGCGCACAGGTTCTTCCTCCCTTGGTCATCAAACACTTTCTCCAGGGTGATGTCCTGCAGCGCCACCAGGGTCGTCTCCAGCATGTCGAGGCCGGACTGGTTTGCGAACGTGAACACTGGCAAGGCCTGCATTTATAGAAATGTTGAGCTGTCACCGTGCCCTCACTTTCAGACATTTTTTTTTCGCGAGAGGGTTAAACCCGTTTTTCCTCACTTTCAGACATAAACATAAGTATCCCAGATTGGTGAAAGTTTCACTCCACAATCAACGTTTTAGAATGTTATATCTGAAATTCAGAGACTAGTTTCTGTGAAACAGTTTCAAGGTAAGTTCTGAAATCAGATGCTGTCTGCAGATAGCACAGAGTGTAATTCTCAACTTGCAATATAAAAGTAATTTTCAGATGCAATAGGGCAAACCTTCAAAGAGCAGCAGAGTATAGCACTGGCATGATGCCAAAGGGTTTTTAGCACTGCTTCACAGCCGCTACCGTCTGCGGATTTGATAAGCTCAGCCCCAAAATGAAATCTGCACAAGCAAGCAGCATCAGCATAAAATTCAAGTATTTCGAACACAAACTAGCTAATCAGAGTACATACAGACCACAGACCTGTAACTCTGGCAGATCCATCTGGCAAGCGTGGTTGCCTCCAGACTAGCAGGACTGTGACTGATGCTGCTGCCATGAGGAACTAGGCGCGAGGAGGAGAGCGCCAGCGCGATCCTCTGAACTGATGCGATGATGCTTCGCATGTACTGCCTCGCCATGGCTGCAACTCTGTCCTGCAGATGGCTCTCGAAGGCAAACTGAAACACGATCGTCATCACAGCCTTTGAGCCAGCACAAGCAGAATTTCCAGGACCGCTCCCATTTATCCTGCTTCTGGGAGTTCCAACTTCAAGGGTGGAGGCAAGGTCCAACGTGCACTTGGGGCTGGATGTGTCCTGACATGTATTTGTAGGGTAAACAAATCAAGAAAAGTTCATCTGTAGTTGAAGCTGAGATGCTACTGGCCCTTTGAGTGGTGGACTTACAAGAGGAGCGTCGATTGGAATGATGCTGAAACCAGATGGGAGCAGTGGTGAGTCATCACTGAATGATGCATCTATAGGGGCAAAGATGAGCTCTGAACAAGTGCCTACCATGTTCTCGTCTACCCCATTGTACATCTGCCAATTCAGTGGAGAACACAACTTATACAGAGATCAAACTTTACAACTCAAGCTCTCTTGTTCATGGTGAAACTAGAGTCAATGACACAGATGTATAAGTGAAACTAAAAGTTACCTGTAACAGAAACAGATCACGGTGCAGGAGTGCGTCTTGATAATTACTGGCATTTCCTAATTTTATAACCTCGAGGAACTGACAAAAGAAATTAAGCAATGAACACATTAAGCAAAAGGGATTTGTTAAATTGGAGCGATTAGTTGCAGTTCAAAGTAGAATAGGAGCTTACTTCTTCAGGGTCAAACGTGTGGGCTAAAGGAAGTATGACCTGACCACTAAATCCTCCAAGGCGAGACATAGGCAAATTGCAGAAATTTGGTTTCATTGCAGAAGCAAAGAATGCATCTAAATTGCTGTCAGCCCACTGCGACCGCTGTTCCCGCATAAAGCGCAGGAGTGCCGGCGGAGAAACATCCTAACAAATAGTGGTAGAATTCATGTAAAACAAAAAAGCGGAATGTTCTGACTGTAAAAATAAAAAAGAAATTCTAACTGTAAGGTGAAATTAACCTGCAGCAGCATCGATGCCTTTGCACAGAGTACACTGCTACCGACTACAGGCAATCCATTATTGAAAGTTGCATTGTAGTTGATCACTTTACTCGGGGATGAGTTCACAGAGATACAAACATCGTCCACTCCATCACTTTCAATCACAGACCATCCATCATCAGCAAGCCCATTGAGAGCTTCATTGAAACCTCTGAAAAAGTGAAAGAAGATGTACGGCTGTTACTAAAGAAGATTCATGACAAGAACCATCAGCATTCTGTAGGTACTGTTCAAGAACCCAACCTGGTGAGCTTTTGGCTCAGAGCCCGTAAAGCAGCAGGCTGCCGTCCCCATCCGGTTATTACAGAATGGGTATCTTCATGAGCAACCTGCCTAAGATAGCGCAAAGCCTGGATTTTGCAACAACAAAAAAAATCAGTCCACAAAATTTGATGTGCCATGTAAGAGCAACAGCAGAGATTGAAGTTCATGGTGTTGTACCGCCATTGACATCTTCTGAGCAACCATTGCAGATGATTCATACAGTGGCCGCACGACTTCAGGCACGCTCCAAGGCTGAGAACACATATAAGTAGCTTAAATTTCTGCTGCAGATGAACTTAAATTAAATATCAGCAGCTGTTATTAATTATATTATCTGGATTCCGTTACCTCCAAGTCCATATGATCAACGATGTGTATAACACTGCCTCCACCGTCGCTAGGCCGAATCAAGAACCCACTAGGAAGCATTTCACCCCTGATAAAAGGCTGGACAAGAGGCATGCTTGGGCCGCCATGCTTGGTACTGAGTGATCTCTCACATACCTTTAGAGCAAGCAAAGTCAAGTAGCTGGCAGATGGATATATGCATGCACATATACAATCACATATGTATGTTTGACGCTCAGACACTCACCACTAAACTTCCATCATCAAGAATGGAGGTGTACCGCAGCAACCAGAAGTCGCGAGCTGGCGCCAGCGTTGTGGGGGCATATAGCTAAAGCCGACACAAAAAAAAAGAACATGATATCTAAGTAAGAAGGCTATTCCCTTAGAGTTAATCAATCAGTTTTATAGAATAAGCAGCTGGAATAACCTGCATGTAGAGAAGCTCAATTGTGCCATTGTTACCGGCAGGAAGAACATTCACCACCTCCATAGATCGGCAATCGCGTAGCCACAGCGGCCGATCCTTGAGGACTTCAGCAACCTGAATAGTCAGCACTCAGTTATGTATACTCAGGAGCCACAAGGGTACACGCAGGGAAGTGAAGCAAATCAAGAGAGCTTACTTTGGCAGGCTCCATACCCACGAGGCCGCAGGCTCGCGCAGCGACACCCGCACAACCATGCGAGATGGCAATGATTCCAATGGAATCCGGACCAGGCTGCAGGTGCCCATGGCGAGACAACAAAGATTGAGCAATTAAGCCGCACGAGGAATCTCACTCACTCAATTCATCAAAGGAAGAAGGAACGGGGAAAAAGCAATATAATTCAGAGCTAGGCCGTCCGTAACCAAACCAACCTTCATCCCGGGCATCTGGACCCACTCGACGGCGGTCCCAGTGGCCTTGGACAGAAACTCCGTCAGTGTCTCCTCCGCTATGGACATGAGCCTGCAGAGACAAGGAGACGTCCATGTCGCTTACAGATGCAGGTTGTTGCTAGGTACGGTGGTAGGCCAGCCAAAGCAGCATGTCAAAATAAAGGCAAAAGCAGCAGGGCTGGCTGGCAAGGAAGGAGAAGGATCGCGTACGTACCCAGCAGGGCCTGCGTCGCGCGGCTGGGCTTGTGCCGCCGCCGCGGCCACGTTCTGGTGGCCACTGGTGACGACCGACTCGCAGCTCGTGTCCGTGGTCGCCAGCCCCGCCTGCAGCAACATCGTCCGCGGACGCGGCAGTGGGATGAACACAGGCACAGCAGTGGAAGGGAGAGAAGATGAGAGAGAGGGAGTGGAGCGATGAGCCGATGAGAGAGAGAAACGCGTACGCTCTGCGTCTGCTGGCGGTAGTAGCCGTTCTCGTAGACGAGCTGCGAGACCTGCTTCTGCAGGCGGTCGTTCTCCTCCATGAGCAGCTTGTTCATGGCTGTCAGCTTCCGGTTCAGCGCCTGCAGCCGGGACGACTCCTTCCGCTGCTTCTCCCGGCACCTGCGTGCGTGCATCATGCGCACGCCGATGGAGATTCGGGTCATGGACGGCCGGCGCGGCGCCACGGCGGCAGCAGGAGTGCAGGACACGAACGGGGAAGATAAAAACGGCAAGCATTCGTGGTTAATTACCTGCGGTTCTGGAACCAGACTTTGATCTGCTTGGGGTCGACGCTGGCGAGGACGGGGCAGTCGCGGACGAGCTGCTGGCGGCGCAGCGAGCTCGGCTTGGGGCACTCGTAGTAGAGCCGCTCCAGCACCTCCACCTGCTCCGGCGTGTACCGCACGTACTTGCTGGCGTCCATGGCCGCCGCCGCGGCCTCCTTGGCCGTCACCATCTGTACACAAGCAAGGTAACCTCTCTTCAACTCTCCCTCCCCGGCCTCCGCTGCAATGGCACAGCAACCAAGAACTAAGTACTCGATCAGCTAGGCGCGGCCAACACCCAGACTCGTAGCTAGCTGAGCTTGAGCTCTGGCAGCTACCGGGCAGTAGCTACTAGCTATGGTCAGCTCTATCCTAGCTAGCGAGAGGGCGAGGGTAGAGGTAGCTGTGGTGGTGGGTCGTGGCATGCAAGCATTGGCGGCCGATCGACGACGTGGTGCTCAATGCAAGTGATCGAGGGTGGGAGGCATGTGCGTGCGTGGGTGTAGTAGCCGTGTAGTAGGGAGTAGAAGAATGGGGTGTGGTGGGGGTGGGGTCGGTCATGGGCGGAGGGGGCGAGAGGCCATGGCCGGAGCACCGGTGCCGCTTTCCTCTAACGCCCGGACATCGGCAAGCACGAGGAGGATTTGGAGCCGGGCCGGAGGAGCCTGGCACACATGCACGAGCTAGGAGGGGGAGAGGAGAAGAGCTAGCTACCCGCTACCAGTAGTCCACTAGTACCACCAGCTGATGTGCTTCACCCTACTGGGTACTGGTGCTACTTTAAAAACGAACGAGAGGCGATCGAATCGGCCGTGGAGTGGAGCCCCGCTGCCCCTTCTTCTTCTCGCCTCGCCGGCGTAATAATTCCTCGGAAAACGATGGTTCCGTGCTGCCTCCTGCAACCTTCTTTAGTCATGCCATCTTTTCTGGGCCCGGTTTAGATTGCAAGTTTTTTCACTCTCTCTCTATCACATCAAATCTTTGGACACATGCATAGAGTATTAAATATAGATAAAAAAATAACTAATTATACAGTTTGATTGTAAATTACGAGACAAATCTTTTGAGCCTAGTTAGGCCATGATTGGACAATAATTATCAAATACAAACGAAAGTGCTACAGTGTCAAATACTGATTTCTAATCCCAATCTAAACAAGACTCTGGTAATAATATTAATTAATATTCGCCGAAAGCAGCAGTCCCGTACCTACATTCCAATTCAATCCCCGGCCTTCTTTTGCTTGCGTGCTTGGTTTTATTTATTCACTAAATAGAGAGAGAAGATATTTCAGATCTAGAATATTTAATTGTCTAGAAATTTGAATTTCACAGCAATCATATACAAATTGAATTTCAGAGAAATCAGTTCATCTTCACATGAAAAAAGGAATCCTGTATTCCAATGGGTCTATACTCTATATACTTGCATTGGTTATGGTCAGGTCAGCAGATAAAATGAAACAGCGAGTATACCACAAATAATTGAGGGCTTTCTGCACATGCTTTAGGCGAGATTCCGAGCTTTTCTTTTCCTTGCTAGTTTTTCTATCGCTAGAATACAACCTGTATCTTTTCCTTTTTCCCGTCACGCCGATAGAGAGAGAAAGAGGGAGGGTACCAAAATAAAATTTTGGCAGGGAAGCAGTGCAGTGCTTAAAGGAATCTCTTTTCCTTTTTCTTTTAGCTCTCGCTCCTTTTAATATTTTTATTTTAATTACCAGCGCTATACTCCAGACATTCCCCCTGCCCAGGGCGTGAATTCTCGATCCTCTAATCTAAAGATATCTATCTCTCTCCCCCCACGTTGAATTTCGCGAGTTCGACAATATCATATTGCCCCTTGCACGAGCTGTCCCCTTGAATCTTTTCCAATCCAGAGTGAATTTTATTTACGTATATTACCGTGTTCCAGCACGAACATTGAAAAATCACTCTTCTTAATTCGTAACTTGGTAAGGATATGCTAATTAAATAACAGCAGTATGATACATACTCTCTGTCTCTCTCCGTCCCCTCAAAAGAGTGCAATTCCTGTTTTTCGAGGAGTCCGATAATTTAAGTTCAACTGAATTTATACAAAGAAAAAACAATAGCATCTATGACAATGAATAAATATATCATTTATTCATAAAATATATTTTTATAGTAAATCTATTTAGATGCATAAACAGTGATACTATTTTTCTATTAACATAATCAGACTTAAGAAAATTTGATTTTGTTCAAATCTAATCTAACTTAAGAAATTTTTTATTCTGTTCAAATCTAGAGAGGGTTTACGCACAAGATATGGAGGGAGACCTGGGGAAGACCGAAGACCAGGAGGATGTTCCTCGAGATTGGAGGCCGCTGCAGGGCAGGCAAGGCAGGAGGTATCTTTCTTCGCCTGATTTTTGAGAGGCGCCACACCCACTCCTGGGGGGCGCCAAAGCCAGGTTTAAAATTATTAAAAATAAACTTGCATCGGGTCAAAGACCCGGGGTGAAAGCGGTTTTTTTTATCGGCACTTGGAGCCCGATTAAAGGCGGCGATCCGCGTCCTGCACACCCACACCCGGCATGCACGCACATCCCCGCGTCGCCAACTCGCCACGCCGGCCTCACGCCTCGGTAAAAAAAAACTGCACAGCCTTCCTTCCCTCTTTTACTCTTTCCTTCTTGTTTTTACTGACAGATAAGCTGCTCGGCGTTTGGACTCAATTTGACCCTGGTTTCACCGTTTCACCTGACCTAATCATAGTGCCGGACAAAAAAAAACGGTTGAACTGGTGGCTCGTTCCTGGACCGTCGTTTCTCTTTCATACATGATTTTGAAGTTGTTAAAACTCGGTGTTGTTTGATACAAATGGCTAGTTACTAGTCAGGGCTAAATTTAGTTCAAATTATAGTTGGCTAGCTAATTGACTACTAATAATTACTTAAAGAGTTAGCTAAAAAATAGCCCTCCGTTTAGATGAACTTGAGCTAATTTTTGAGTTAAAAAAATAGCTAGCTAACAATTAACACATGGTATCCAAACATGCCCTCGATATGAAGTTGGTCACAAACAACACAGAAGATTATATATAATAAATAAGAAAGGAGTAGTATGCCTGTAACTATCCATGGGGCTCAATTGCCAATCGATCCATGTGCGCTAACCACTCTGATGATCACACTGGTGCCCGTGACATTTTCCTAAAACGGATGTAATGTTTTCGTAGGTAGCACTGGCACACACGTGTGATATTTAGGACTGCATCAAATCAAAGGCAAGCACGGTGCACGGCCCTCCAGCAAGGACGCATGAATATGCAAACGAATTTCATCATGAGGTTGCGACTATTTTCTGTCACACCGCATGATTCAGTGCTTGTTTCGGCGGTTAGCTCCTGGCCCCTCCAATACTTGGGAACAGCTTATATAGCTTCTTGTGGCAGACACTAAGGTCATGATTTTATTTTATTCTTTTTAATCTACAACTCCTGTTGTTACATGTTATATGATTCTAACCAGGAATCAGTTAGCACAGCAATGTCTTTCATCAGGCCATGATTTTATTTATTTTTTTAATCTACAACTCCTGTGGTTATATATTATGATTCTAACCAGGAATCAATTGGCACAGCAATGTCTTTCCAAGGAATAAATAATTAGTTTTTTGGAGCATTCAACTAATATAGGCTAATAATTTTTTTTTTAAATAATACGCACAAAAATATACGTATTTCTTTCACAACAATAAGTGAGCCTAATGATTATAGTCATCTCCAGAATCGTCGACTAAAAGCACTAGACATTTCTGTTTGAATCTAACAGAAAACGAATTGACAGTCATTTATTATTTTCCACCTGAGCAAGTATACTTCAATTGGCAATGATGAGGTATTGGTACTAGAAATACGGATACAGCGTACCCTACGTGTGGTCGGCCGAGCCTCAAGCCTGGACCATGGAAGGAGGAAAGTTGCAGGCTATCAGCTTGACAGCTGCAAGCCAACCCACTATTCAACACTGGTCCACATGGCACTTGCCAAGACCACGCTTTCTCTCATATCAAAACTCAAAAAGAGATCCTCCCATGTTCTTTCCTGTGATGAGAGGGAGATACTACATGCTTTGCAAAACATAAGAAAATGGAAAAGCTGGCCAAAGCTAAAAAGCTAGGGCTTGTCCTATCCCACTACCAACCACTTACCTGGGTCTGACGTGTCATGGCCTGGATATGCACGCCTTTTGTGTTCTCTATGACTATTCTAAACCAATCAACCATCCAACCCAACCCAAACACCCAATTTGGCCTCCCCAGATTTGCTATATATCATCCCAAGGTGACCTTAGCAAGGGGGGCCCAACTGTTGAACACCCAACCTAACCCCACTTTTGCACAATAGTATTATTCTAAATTTTCCAACACATCACCAATCCCTCCTTTTACTGGGCAATCAGGCATTCAGGCTTCTTAACAATACCACCAAAATCAGACTTTTCCTCCACTTGACAATGGTGGTGGCCAAATCGAATGCTTTGGTTTTTTAATTAGGATTATCAGAGAGCACTAAGCATATTTAAGGCATAAATCGGCTAAGTAAAGCATCAGGCATGGCAGATAATGAAATGGAATGGAGGGGAGCCAGGAAGACCTACCGTGCAGGCCACTAACACATGGAAAAGGAGCGGAGCCGAACAAATTCCGGGACACCCCTGCTCAGTGGAAATGAATGGTGTCTGAATTGACTGCTGCTGCAGTCACAAAACATAGTCGGCAAATCATTACAGAAATTTCTGCATGGTAGTGAAATTCTATAATTCAGTAGCTGACAGATTAGACAAAAATAGGTGTTTTTTTTTTCACCACAAAGTTTACTGGCCTTGATTAAAAGGGCATAAGCAAATCATCGAATAATACAAGGCTCAAGATACCCCTGAAGTGATTGCTGCCACACAGATGTCCGATTCAGCGACAAAAAAGGAAATGTCCCCATCCTTTGAGGCATCTGGGATAGATGACAGATCCTGTGACAGGATGTATTTGATTAACATATGTTCCGTAGATGATGAAGTGAAAAAGACAGTGAAAGTCATCTCTGGCTGACTTACAGGTAGATAGGTATCCAATCAATCGTCTGTCAAGATCAAAATGCTGGCAAAGAAGTTTCTGCAAGAAATACACAGGCACGATATTAACCATCACATAATTGATTTTCATGC